GGGGGGGGGGGTGGGCGGTGAGGCCACATTCATCTGAGGGTAACCTAAAACCTGCATCACAAACTTGATCAACCTATTTTGATCAGCTTATTTCACTCTCTTGTGATGATGACTTTAATATTTAATGGACACAGGATTCTCTACCATTGTGGTCTTTCTGCTCAGCAAACCATGACCTGGAAGTATAGTTGATGCCTGTGATAATTCTCAGGAGGCTTAAAAATCAACGTACATGGACCGCCTTATATTTCACTCTCAGAGACATTTGTGCCACTTCTGGGAGATGCTTTTTGGCTTTTGTTTGTTTGTTTTTGTCTCTTTTGTATCTCATCCCTTTGGACTAAAATAGACCTTTCCAAATCTGTGGTCCATGTCCAGGATTACTCAAAGCAGTATTCTCAAAACTTTTGGGCTCTAGAAGGGTTTGGCTTATTAATTTTTTTTATCATCCTCATTCACCTTTTCCCTTCACACCATCACACACTCTGGAACCATATAATGAAGATTTGATGACAGTGGAAGAATTGTCCATACAAATGGAAGAATTTATATTTAGGGTACCTCTTTATATTTAGACAATTTAACACATTTATATTTACATATAAATAGTCAGAAAGTACTATTTGGTTTTTGTTTTTTTTAAAGTTTATTCATTTTTGAGATTTGAGAGAGGCAGAGCATGAGCAGGGGAGGGGCAGAGAGAGAGAGGGAGAACAGAATCCGAAGCAGGCTCCAGTCTCTGAGCTGTCAGCACAGAGCCCGATGTGGGCGTAAGGTTCGAACTCAGGAACCGTGAGATCATGACCTCAGCCAAAGTTGGATGCTTAACCAACTGAGCCATCCAGGCGCCCCTAGAAAATGCTACTGGTTTTTCCCATAGTTCAATAGTTCCTGTTCAGACACCTCCAAGGAGTATAATAGTTTGAGCAGAATAAAAGCGGCTTTGGAAAGCTTACTATTTAACTTTGATAGAGAAACAGGCGATGATTCCATTATCTGGTGAATTATTACTTTTAATTTTGAACATCTCTGAAGCATAAAAACTACAAGAACTTTCATAAGCACAAAATTTACCGTGAAACAAGAAGATACTTGTATTCAGAAAGAATTAGGTTTAGAAAATCCTCAAATCTAGACTAATGGAAAGTCTTAAAACCTCTCCCAGGACCAAAACAAAAATACCACCAAATGATCTGTTTCAGAAGGCTCAATAGGTACTTGCTCACACAACCAAAATCTAAACTGGGTGATAATGCTAAGGTTGGGTCCACTGCAAAGTATTCTTTAAAATATTTTTTTATATCCTGGGATAGGGTGAAATGTGTGCGTTGTGGGGGGTAGGAAAGGCAAACAGAAAATTCAGACTTTAGCAATATATTTGCAAAGTAGCCAATTTCACAAATATAATTTTCCTCTGTTTTTTTTTTCACTTTGTTCAATAGATAATTTGAAAAAAAAGGATCTTAAACTACTTAGTCATATAATGCTTAAATCGTATTTTTTTGTGCAACTGTGAATTACATGTTGCATATTTATCTGTGGGCAGTGCAACAGGGATGCTGGAGGGAGACTCAAATTTGAATCTCAAGGTTCTTTGGTATCTGGTCATGTGACCTTGAGGGTATTACTTAATCTCTGGTTGAAGGTGGAGAGCCCTGTCCTGTCTGAAGGGAATCATACCTATTCACAGTGTTATTGCCAGGATTAAATGAGTATTTTACAGAAAGTTCCTAATACTGTTCTTGGCACACAGTAGGCTGTTAAGTGAAAGTTATTACCTCTAGGTGCCATGACAGAAGAGTTTGGTTTTGAGACACCTTTATCCAAACTGTGATTACTAACAAGTGGAGATGGGGAGTTGCCAGCCAGGTAAAATACAGGATATAGAATCACATTTGAATTGCCGATAAACAACAAATAATTGGTTTTAAAAATTTTGTTAAACGTTTATTTTTGAGAGAGTACACAAGTGGGGGAGGGGCAGAGAGAGAGGGAGACACAGAATCCGAATCAGGCTCCAGGCTCCCAGCTGTCAGCACAGAGCCCGACATGTGGCTCGAACCCACAAACTGTGAGATCATGATCTGAGCCAAAGTCAGATGCTTAACCCACTGAGCCACCCAGGTGCTCCAACAAATGATTGTTTTAATAGAAGTAGGTCCCTTGCTGTTTATGGAGCATACCTACACTAAAAAAAATTAATTATGTGTCTGAAATTCAAACTTACCTGGGTGCCCTGTGTTTTTGCTAAACCTAGCAACCCCAAGTGTAGGAATAACGTGTAGTCCAAGGGGACCTGCTAACAACGTCTAAATATTGTTGTTCACCTCAAGTTGGCCAAGGGGGACCAGCCAGTTCACTCCTGCCATTAATGGAAAAATGTCTGCCAGAGAGATGCTGTGTTTTTCTCATCA